TCGCATCGATAATATACTGAATCATGCTGGTAAGATCATCTTGGAAGCTCGGGCGCAGGTAATGTGCAGACGAACGAAGCCACGTATCAACTTGTTGACGCCGCCCGCTGCTCAGGGACCTGTACATGTTGAAATAGATATCCTGCTCTGGGGCAAGCCCCGACTGACTTCCGCTGGAGTCCACGGAGGGGGCAGTCTGTTGAAAATCATCGACCTTCTCACTGGGAATGGAGGTACACAGCTGGTGCCTGAGATGGGAGATCTCGGAACAAGATGCGGAAAGCTGGTGTCCGAGGCTCGCGATCGACTTCAGCATCTGGTCAATCTTGTCATCAGAGGGCCAGTCGCGATCGGGGCTATCCGCTGATGGGGTACTGGACAAAGGTGCATCATCAGTGCTCGCCGTCGTAGGCATAACCAGTCCTGGCCCGAAGCGGCCTGCCTGCTGAGGGTCACGAAGGGCCCGTCGTACCGGCACATGACAAGAAACCTCACGCTTGAAACCGTCATCTGCTGCACGAAGTGTAGACAGATGGCCTCCGTGGTCGTAAGCATAGTCTATGTGGACCTTCCCTTGGATGGATTCGGCTTTGATGCTGTCATCAGCTGTACGGGGCGTGGACGGACGGTACGACCCCGAGCGGACAGGTACAGCGCGAAGGTCAGGACAGCGAGGGGCATCACACAAAAACTCTGCACGCTGCGGGCGAACCGGAGGCACAGAATTTGCAATACCTGGTAAAATACAGTTGAAGGCCACTACATCATATTTGTCAGAAGGCAAGTTCGAGGAAACCAATTTATCCAGACAAAGACGACGACGCTTAATCTTCGGAGGTGTGGAAATCGCAACCTTCTGCCAAACTCCAGAAGGGGATGGGCTCCTCCACCTTCGATGCCTAGCAAAGTTCCCATTTTGCGTTATTTCTTCCATGCTCGAAAGGGCACTGGACGAGAATTCACCACACGCATGAGCGTCACGAACGGCAAGACTAAGGCAATGTCGAAGTGGGAGGCCGAAATCCCGCTCCAATGATTGTTGAAGGGCAGCCGCAGAACCTAATTGATGAAGACGATGCTCCAGCTCGGGGTTGCAAGGCGGCGAGATGACGCCAATATCCACCTCGCGCTTCAGGGAAAGCAATGAACGAGTAGAGGCAGCAAACGAGGCCGATGTCGATGCCGAAATTCTAAGCTTTTTCCCCAAGATTCGCAGGGCACCCAATGCAGAATTCACCGAACTACTATCGGCGAAGGGAACATCACGCTTGCGCGGTGGCATGCTCGAGGGGTGCGTAAACACGTAGCAAACTCAAGGCGGCTTGAGCCAAAATGGCTACGGATCCTCCTCATGCCTCTTGTGGGAGGGGGAGGAGAAGGGAAGCGGACGATCAGAAGAGGCAGGATGAGGAGTGCGATGAGCAGAAGAAGCAGGAGGAGGTTGAGGAGTCATCCCCCCTCATCCGTCCTCCTGCAACCTCCTCCTCCCTCCTTTTACCCCTCGGGGAGATCGGAAGAGCAGGGGCAAGAGTGATGGAAGGAGCGGGAGGAGGAGGAGGAGGAGGAGGAGGAGGAGGAGGAGGAAGAAGGCGACGACGGAATAGCAAGAGGATGTGGAACGGCTTATCAACATCATCCCCTGCTCCTTATCTTCTTAGTCATATCGTTCGTCCTCCTCATCTCACTACCCTTCCTCTCCTCATGGGAAATATAAGAAACGGATGAGGTTGAGGGAGAGATGGAAGGGGAGGGAGAGAGAGAGAGAGAGGGAGAGGGAGAGCGAGGGTGTCAACATAAACATTTGAAGTCCACTATGCAGGCGCCCTTGGACCTGGAACCGGCTTACGTAGGTCACCAAACCTTCTGCAGAACGCCCCACGACACGTCGAGCTTGAGTCGGCATGACATCGAAGATACATCGGTGATAGGCCCCAGACTGCGAAACCGAACGTTCATGGGCGGAGGAGGAGGAGGAGGAGGAGGAGGAGGGGGAGGAGGAGGAGGAGGAGGAGGAGGGCTCTTTCCGAGCTCTTTCAGGCCGCCACGTCGTGGCACGTCCGCGCGGGCGCGCGCTCGGCGCGCGCGCGCGGCTCAGCGCTGCCCCGCAGCACTGCACTCCCCCTCCCTCGACCCCCGCCCACAGGGGGACGTGGCGGGGTTCAACCGAGGGAGGCTCGCGAGGGTCTGGAGCAGGGCGCTGCAGTCTCCTCCCTGGCTCCGCCTCGCGAGGCGGTGCAGGTCCTCCTCGCAACTTACGCACGCATTTCTCGCATTCTCTCACGGCGGCCCGATCTCAGCACTGTAGCTGGTCACGTTGGGCTGCCGCTTCACTCTCGCTCTCTTCTCGCACGCGCCTTATCGGGATGCGTCTCTTGCCCTGCGTGCTCTTCAGGACCATCTTCGCGAAGTCTGGCCTGAGAGGCCACGTGGGCCTGCCGTCTGAGCCAAGCAGGGTGAAGGGGCTGAACTTCCTGCTAGGTGTGATGCTGTACTTCTGGTATCGGGTCTCGAGCTTCTGCTGGTCCTCCTCTGGGAGGGGGCCCCACTCGCCGAGGACATCCTTCGCTTCCCATTGGGCCCCAGCGCTCTCGCATGCCCTGATCCCAGTGCTGTAGCTGATCGCATCGGGCTCGACCGTCGCCTCCCACTTCTCGCACGTGCTGTTGCCATGGCCTTTGCCTCCTGCCAGCCACGTTGATGCGATCACTTCTCGAGCCATCCACATGGCCCTGCTGGCGCCGTCCATCCGCGGTCCGTCCGCTGGAGGCTGAGATCCAGATCCAGCCATGGCTACGAGGAGCTGTAGCTGGGCACGTGTGGGCTCCGCTTCACCGCCAGCTTCTCGCACCTGCCACTGCCCGTCTTTCTCGCACGTACAGCCTGCGCCGTCCTGAAGCTGCCACTGCCCGTCCTTCTCACACGAACTGGTCACTCCCACCGTAGGCTGCCACTGCCCGTCCTCCTCGCACGCGCCGACAGCCTCTCGTAGCTGCCACTGCCCGTCCTTCTCGCACGGGCTGGCCGCTCCCTCTTGTAGCTGCCACTGCCCGTCCTTCTCGCACGAACTGTTCGCTCCCACTAGAGGCTGCCACTGCTCTTTCTTCTCGCACGCACCGACACCATCCTCTTGAAGCTGCCACTGCTCGCCATTCTCGCATGCACAGTCCGCTCCTTCTTGAGGCCGCCACTGCCCGTCTAAACTGGCCGTTGCGCAAGCACCTTTCTTGATGGTGTAGCTGATGACGTTTGGATCGGCTTCGCCTCTGCCGTTCCACCATTCTCGCATGTCTCACACTTCTCGCCACGTGTCGGCAGAGACTGCCGCTCCTGCACTCCCGTCTCGCACGCGCTGCTCTGAGTGCCGATGCTTTCGGTGACGTCTGGCTCTAGCTTCGCCTTCCCCATTGCGCCTTTCTCGCACGCGCTCGTTTCACGGACGAGGAGGAGGAGGAAATTGGGCTCCACGTTGGGCTCGGTCTTCGCCGCCCCCTTCCCACAAGGAATCTCTGCACTGTAGCTGGTCACGTTTGGCTCCACCTTCGCCTCCGCAGCCGAACTACTTTCTGCTTTCTCTGATCCAACCGTGGCGACGAGGAGCGACGAGGGGAACACTCTAGTGAAATTGGGCTCCAGTTTTGCCTCCGCCACTGTTGCTTTCAACTTCACCGTTCCCTCCTCGCACGCCCTGATCGCTTCACTGTAGCTGGTCGTGTTGGGCTCTATCTTCACCTCCCACTTCTCACAAGGGCTGGTCTCCTCTCGCTCGCTCCGCTGTTCGTCTTCGTGGGGCTGCCACGGGCCCTCCTCGTAGGCTCCTTCCCACGGGATGCCCCACCAGCCCCAGGCGTCCACCTCTGCCTGGCGGCGGGTGGCCAAGCGGAGTCTCCTGTCCGCGCGGCGCCGGCTGCGGCTCGCGGCCGTGAGGGTCCTCCCCCCGTCGAGGGGCCCACTCCACGGCGGCGCAGCGAGCAGCATCATGGCCGCGCTGGGGGCTCGGGTCGGCGGGCAGGGGGCTGCCGCGCTGCCGAGCCGCCTAGGAGGAGGAGGAGGGGAGGAGGAGGAGGAGGAGGAGGAGGAGCCTACCCCCCATCGGCGACCAATGGGCGACTGGGGGCCGCTGCTTCCCCCCCCGAGCCTGTCCCCCCCCCCTGACGCTGCCCCTGACCCGAGCGAGTCATCCTCGCCGTCTGGCCTTCTCCCCCTCCTCCTCCCTCCTCCTCCTCCTCCCTCCTCCCTCCTCCTCCTCCTCCCTCCTCCTCCTCCTCCTCCGTCCTCATCCCTCCTCCCTCCTCCTCCTCCTCCCTCCTCCTCCTCCTCCGTCCTCGTCCCTCCTCCTCCTCCGTCCTCGCCCGAGCAAGCCACGCCGCTCCCCGAGGAGTCCCAACTCGGGTCCCGGCCGCAGCTCGGGACAATCTGGGCGCCCCCGAAGGCTCTTGGCGAGGTGCATCCGCCGACCGCCTCCCGAGGCTGGATCGCCGCCGCAAGCCGACTTGCAACGGACGCCCTGGCAGCAGGCCGCGCGGCAGGAGGGGGCGCCGATGCGCGGCCTCGCGCGGGGTCCCCGCGCAGACTTGGGCGCCCGATTTATCCGGGGTAACTCGGGTCCAGGGTAACTCGGGTTTGGATTTCCGAAAAAGGAACCCGAGTTAGCCCTGACCCCAGTTATCCCTGATGATTTGGGGCTCTGGACGCCCGGATCATCCGGGGTAACTCGGGTCCGGGGTAACTCGGGTTCGGAATCCTGAAAAGCGAACCCGAGTTAGCCCTGACCCGAGTTACCCCTGATGATTCGGGGCTCTGACAGACGGCCCCCAGGGAAGCCAAGAGACACCGATACCGCCGCTCCCCAGAGCTCTCCTGGGGCGCGCTCTGACCGGCACCTCGAGGCGCATCCAGCGGCGGCGGCGAGGGCCTGCCAGGAGGCCCCGAAAGAACGACGACGAGGCAGAGGGCGCCGGCATCCGCACCCCCGGGCCCCGCTTTCGGGCCCCGCCGCCCACCTGCCGCTCCCTTTCCAGGCGCTCGGCGCCGAGCTCGAGCGCGTGCGCGCGACGCTGCCGCTCGAGCTGCTCGAGCAGCTCCAGCGCCGCCCCCTCGCGGCCCAGCTCCCCCCGCACCGCCAGGGCGCCCTCGGACGAGCGGCCGGCCCGCTCGGCCTCCAGCTCGGCCGTGACAGCGCGCACCTGGCCCGATGGGGGAGCAGAGGCCTCCCGGAGGGGGTCCGAGTAACTACAGTCGGGGCCTTGACCTAAGGAACCCAAAATAAGGAACGAGGCCCCTTTTCTCCATAAGTTAAACTTCGATTTCCGATCGAAAACATAAGGGAAACCTGAGGCAAGCTGCGAAACACTCAAGGAACGCGGAGCCCCTCCCCAACCAACAGGGTTCCTTCTTCAGGGCCCCGACTGTGGATGGGGGTCGGGGGATTGCGCCGCATCGACGGTACATCGGCGATGCATCGAAGATGCATCGGCGATGCATCGTCGACGTCGGCGGTGCATCGGCAGCGTCGACGTGGAGAAGCAATCGGCCTCCACATCGAGCCGCATCGCCCTTGCATCCACGACGCGGCGCGATCCTTCGACCCCATCTACCTCGACCCCATCTACTCCGACCCCACTTGCGAGGCCCCCTCCATGGCGCGCGGAGCGCGGCGGGACGGCGCCGGAGGCGCCGCTGGGGGGGGGGCCCAGCGCAGATCCAAGAAATCCGCGCGGAGCGCCAAAAGTTTATGTTGATTCTGGCGCTCTTCTTCGAGGAGGAGGCTCCTTGGAAGGCGGAGGGGCTTCGCAGAATGCCCTGCAGATGGGGGGGGCTTCTGAGAAGACTTCGTGGAAGACGGGCGGGCCTCCAAGATGTGTTCGCTGCGTGTTGTGTTTTAATGGTTTCGGTTTGTGGCATCTCAACGTTTTTGTTACGTTTGTTTAGAACTTCTGCTGTGTTAGAAGATCGTCTTGGATCCAAAAACGTTTAGTTTACTGTGCTTGTGCCGTTCCCCTGCGGGCGCCGCCAAACAGGGGCGGGAGAGAAGGGGGGGCAGCACGCGTCCACCGACGGGGAAGCCTCCACCCGGGGGTCCCAGGAGGAAGAGCATGGTTGGGGGCCTCCCGGAGAGGGTCAGAGCAGATCGGGTCGGCGGATCGCGCTGGATCGCCGATGCATCACCGAGGCATCGGCGACGCCGGCGTGGGCAACATGGGGCTCCACAGCGAGGCGCCTCGCCGATGCATCGCCAATGCGGGGCGATCCTTCGGCCCCATCTGCTCTGCCTCCATCAGAGAAGCCCAGCAAAAGAGAGCGGACACCCTCGGGCCAGCGGGTGGAGAGCCGAGAGTGTCCGCGTCCGCTGCCTTCCGCTGCTCTTGCGGACCTTGCTTTCTGTTGGCTGATTTTGCATCAAAAATGTTTGCCTTGGATTTTGATGTTTTTGTTTTACCTTTTTATGGCTTTTGGTATCTCATGTGAAAGATTTATTCGCGATGACGCCCATGACGGGCCCCGGCCCCCCGGTCACGTCACGATTCGCGCCAGGACCGCCTGGGATTGAGCCATCTCTGGGCATTCCTGGACGGCGCCGGCGCGAATCAGGACGTGGTCGGCCCCCTCTCCCACCCCTCCCCCCCACAACGGGTAGCGCCCGTTATCGCCAGGAGACAAAAATTACCCTGTGACGTACCCAACCCTTTCCATACATGTGGCGATTATACTCAGGACCACTCAATGCTGACTGGCATTCTGAAGGACCCGCAGTGCGCAAGAAGAGCACCCAACAGTGATTTCAGAAGAGTGCAGCAAGAAGAGGAACGGCAACTATACAAAATGGAAACACAGGGGCGTTGAAAGAAACGGGTATGACGTACCTCCGAATGCTCCACGTGGGACGTACCTCCGCTGGGCCTCCCAGGAGCCCACGAAAGTGGCGACAATTGCGCAGATCGCAAGCCCCCCAGGGGGCGGCGATGTCCCGAGGTGATCCGCGTGGGACCCACCTCCGCTGGGCCTCCCAGGAGCCCACTAAAGCGGCAACAGTTGCGAAAATCGCAAGCCCCACAGAGGCGGCGAGGTCCCGAGGTGATTCGCGTGGGACCCACCTCCGCTGAGCCTCCCAGGAGCCCACGAAAATGGCGACAATTGCGCAGATCGCAGCCCCCAAGGCACCGCGAAGTCTCGAGGTGATTCGCGTGGACCCACGTCCGCGGGGCCTCACAGGAGCCTACGAAAGCGGCGACAGATGCGCAGATCGCAGCCCCCAAGGCACCGCGAGGTCTCGAGGTGATCCGCGTGGGACCCACCTCCGCGGGTCCTCCCAGGAGCCCACGAAAATGGCGACAGTTGAGCAGATCGCAAGCCCCCAAGGCACCGCGAGGTCCGAGGTGATCCGCGTGGGACCCACCTCCGCTGGGCCTCCCAGGAGCCCACGAAAGTGGCGACAATTGCGCAGATCGCAGCCCCCCAGGGCACCGCGAGGTCTCGAGGTGATCCGCTTGGGACCCACCTCCGCTAGGCCTCCCAGGAGCCCACGAAAATGGCGACAATTGCGCACGCGAGGTCTCGAGGTGACCCGCGTGGGACCCACCTCCGCTGGGCCTCCCAGGAGCCCACGAAAAGGGAGACAATTGCGCAGATCGCAGCCCCCAGGGCACCGCGAGGTCTCGAGGTGATCCGCGCGGGACCCATCGAGGTGATCCGCGTGGGACCCACCTCCGCTGGGCCTCCCAGGAGCCCACGAAAGTGGCGACAGTTGCGCAGATCGCAGCCCCACGGGCACGGCGAGGTCTCGAGGTGATCCGCGTGGGACCCACCTCCGCGGGGCCTCCCAGGAACCCACGAAAGTGGCGACAATTGCGAAAATCGCAAGCCCCCAAGGCACCGCGAGGTCTCGAGGTGATCCGCTTGGGACCCACCTCCGCTGGGCCTCCCAGGAGCCCACGAAAATGGCGACAATTGCGCACGCGAGGTCTCGAGGTGATCCGCGTGGGACCCACCTCAGCTGGGCCTCCCAGGAGCCCACGAAAGTGGCGACAATTACGCAGATCGCAGCCCCCGGGGCACCGCGAAGTCTCGAGGTGATCCGCGTGGGACCCACCTCCGCTGAGCCTCCCAGGAGCCCACGAAAGTGGCGACAGTTGCGCAGATCGCAGCCCCCAGGGCACCGCGAGGTCTCGAGGTGATTCGCGTGGACCCACCTCCGCGGGGCCTCACAGGAGCCTACGAAAGTGGCGACAGATGCGCAGATCGCAGCCCCCAAGGCACCGCGAGGTCTTGAGGTAATCCGCGTGGGACCCACCTCCGCTGGGCCCCCCAGGAGCCCACGAAGTTGGCGACAGTTGCGCAGATCGCAGCCCGAGGGCACGAGAGAAAAAGGAGAGGGGACCACAGGAAACAGGACAGGAGGAGGGGAGGAGGGGGGAGGAGAAGAAGGACGGGGCGACCACACTGCTCTATTGAAAACGAGTACCTAATCATAGGAGGGTTGGGGAAAAAACGCTCTCTTGGGCGAAATATCCTGACAGTACCAGTTGTACTGAGGCGGAATAGGAAAGTCAAAGCCTTCTAGATGGGGTCCGAGCAGATGGGGTCGGAGGATCACGTCGCATCGCCGATGCATCAACGATACGTCGCCGATGCATCGGCGACGTCGGCGATGTATCGGCGCCATCGGCGTGGAGAAAACCGGGCTCTACATCAAGCCGCATCGGCGATGCATCGGCGATACGGCGAGATCCTCCGCCCCCATCTGCTGGGGCCCGATTTGGGAGGCCTAGAGAGCAGGAGAAGGGAAGAGGAGAGAAAGGGAGAAGCAGGAGGCAGGAGGGAGGGAGGAGGGAGGAGGAGGAGGAGGAGGAGGAGGAGGAGGAGGAGGAGGAGGAGGAGGAGGAGGAGGAGGAGGGAGGAGGAGGAGGGGAGGAGGAGGAGGGGAGGGAGGAGGAGGAGGAGGGAGGAGTGAGGAAGAATAGGAGGAATAGGAGGAGGAGGAATAGGAGGAGGAGGAGGAGGAGGAGGAGGAGGAGGAGGAGGGAGGAGGGAGGATGGAGGAGGGAGGACTGAGGAGTGAGGAGTGAGGCGGAGGCGGAGGAGGATGAGGAGGAGGAGGGAGGAGTGAGGAAGACTAGGCAGACGAGGGCCTCGTCCGCGGGGCTGCCGCCGCGCGAGCCCGCCGCCCGCGGCCTGCTGCTTGGCGACCCGCCGAAGGGCGCCTCGCGCCGCGGCCGCTGGCCGGGCGGGCCGCGCTCGGGCGGCTCGGGGCGAGGGGGGGCGGCCCCCTCGGGGGCCGCCCCAGTCCGCTCCTCCGGGCTCCTCCGCTCCTCCGAGCTCCTCCGGGGCCGCTCCGGGTCCGCTCCTCCGCCACCTCCGGGGTCGCTCGGGGTCCGCTCCTCCGAGCCCCCTCTGCTCCTCTGGGGCCGCCCGGGTCCGCTCCTCCGCTCCTCCTGCTGCTCCTGCTCCTACGATGAGGCTGGGCATGTCCTCCTACAGGCGGATTCTGGAAGACATGCAAACGCTTCACAACAAAAAAGACTCAAACATAATCAGAGAAGGGCACGGGCAATCGTCCCCTAACATGTTCTGCTGCTGTTCTTCAAGTTGCCTCCTGTAGAGGGACATGCCCGACTGAATCCTACGACCGAAGAACATCCAAATACATCTAGGTAAGCCAAGTGATGTCCAGATGAATCTCGAGAGATCGTGGCAGCTCCAGCGCGCGTCGAGGGACAGCACAAGTCATTAAGCCCCTAACGACGGGGCGACGCCGCGCCCGCAGGCCGCAGCATTGTGTTGTTGTTGGTTGTGGTGGTGGTGGTGGTGGTGTTGTTGTTGCTGTTGCTGGTGTTGTTGATGTTGTTGTTGGTGTTGTTGTTGTTGTGGTTGTTTTTTACCATTGTTGATGTTGTTGTTGTTGTTGCTGCTGCTGCTGTTGTTGTTGTGCTGGCCCGAGGCGGCCCGAGTCTCGTTCAACGTAGCTTTTTCAGTGAAGCTGTGTTTGAATCATGTTTGCACTATTCTACGTCGGGCCGTCTCCACGCTTCACACCTGCCCCTGGAGACTCTTCCACAAGATCGAGGCCCCGAGGAAACGGATAATTACGGCTGTTTTGCGGGCAGCTCCACAGGGCAGCCTTGCGGCGGCGACTGCCCCCGCCACCCCTGAGGCCCGTCTGCATCTTGCCTCGCAGCCTGGTCCCCCCTCTGGTGAGAAGGCGCTCGAGCTGGCTTCGCCCTGTGCCGCTGCAGCCGCCCCAACATGAGCATCGTTTAACCGATACCCATCCCCACCAGCGTGGGATCGGCCCCACTGGCCGAATTACCCCCCTGGCTCGAGATGTGGATGGGGATGGGGATAGGGATTAGTTAAACGATACTGTCAACAGACGACTCAGTCCAGGACCCCTGGCACCTTTCTCGTTCTATATCTCTTTCACTCTCTATGCCTCCCTCTCTCTCTGTCTCTTTCTCTCTCTATCACTATCCCTCTCTCTCTCTCTCCCTCTCTGTGTTCGTTTATCTCTTTCTCTCTCTCTCTCTCTCTCTATCTCTGCCTGTCTCTCTCTCTCCCTCCCTTTCTCTACACACACCCACACCTGTATGTATATGTATATGTATATGTGTACACATATCCCTCGATTCCGTTCGTCGAAGAGGCCGTTCTGGGTTGTGATATGTATTGCTGCTGATGATGAGATATTCACTGAACGGCTCTCCGACATCTTGTTGCACACCGCCTTGCCAGCTCGAGACAACGAAGGGGTAAGGTTCACGCCCCAAGTTCTTGCAGGGCAGTCCATGGAGTCCTGAGATCGTACCTGTCCCGTCTACCTCTCTTTGGACACCGACGTAGACGGCCCATCTTGCCCCCGACGTGCGTGACAATGATATCAGATATTCCCGTCGACCCGAGACATGTCCCAGGAACGCGTCGGAAACGTCCATCACGTACCACCAGGTTTTCGGATCACCCCTCTGGGACCGAGGAAAAGCGGCACCAGCACCACCAGTGCGACGACATGCTAGGAGGCCAAAAGCTGGGTAGTCGAAGCCAATCTGGCGCCAATCTGGCAGGCCCAATCTGGCAAACGGGGGCAATCTGGCGAGGGAGCCAACGCGAATCCAGTCTGGCGGATAACCCAAAGCATCCAGTTTGGCCAGGCCAGATTGGCCCTTGGGGCCCAATCCAATCTGACAGTCTGGCCTTCGACTACCCAGAAAAGGGGGTCTCCCTGGTGGTGTGTTCCTCCCCTTCTCGCTCGAGGCATCCCCAGCCTCCAGCTCGGGGAGGCACCGTGGACCCCCTCGCTGGAGACGGGCCCCCTGCTGGTGTTGGCATCGCTTCTCCTCCCTCCGACCTGTGGGACATGGAGATGGCGTGGAGGCGCTCGGGAGGACCAAACTAAGGGGAAAACAAACCTACCTAGCTTTTGACCACCCTCGCTTCCAAGAGATACCAAACGATGCCAAATTGCAGCCTGTACTGGTCAGGCCGCGTGACGAGGAGGCGCCTGGTATGGCTTGGTTTTGCCTGGAAGCGAAAGCGGGGTAGGTAATTCACGCTCTGACAAACGAGGACGAAGATCACGGTGGCCAGTACCCATCAGATGGAAGGTCGAAGAGAAGACAGCCCGTCAACGTCCGAGGATCCCGGGAGCAGCACGCTCAACAACGACATCCCGAACTGCGGTCTCTTCTGGCCCCGCCCAGAAGGGAGCTGGAGGTCGTACGAGTCCTGATGCCGTACTTTCAGGATCATGTCCAACTTCGCTTCACCGTCGCGAATCCGAGGTAGCTCCCCCCAAACCATCATCATTTGTTTAAAAAATTGTCCACGCAAAAAGTCTCGCAGGCCGCCCCCAGCACCAATGCCAATGTTGGACATTGGGGGGGTCCGGAGACGGGGCACAACGGCGCCCTAATTCTGAGGGCCTGACTCGTCAACGACGCCCTGCGCCAGCACGCCGGCGGCGACCTCGTCGCCAGAGGTCGCCGGCCCCCTCGCGCGAGCATGGCCTCCACGCCCGACGCGGCAAAAACGTCCGCAGCGGCGCTTCGCCGGACATCCTGCCCGAACCACGCCCCGGGGCTAGCGACCCGCACCGCGCGCAAGCGGCACCGGAGTTCCACCGTCCAGGATGCCGGGGTGTATCTGCCAAGCGGGCGGCCCCCATTGCGGAGCAGCTCGTCCCACACGGGGCAGCCACGTATGCAGGCAGATGCCCTGATCCACACTCCGCACGTGCAACACGAAAATGCGGTGCGTAGGTCCACCCTCTGATGACGACAGTTGTAGAAGGTTCTCCAAAGATCTCACCCAGGGCAAGGTCGGAGCGTGGAATCGACTCTTGGTGTGGGCCCATCGGTTTCATCGTCACACTCGCGCATCCGTTTCCACCGCTCCCGCCTTCCTGTCATCAGAAAAGATTCGATCCCAGTCTGAGGAGCTACGAGCGTTCAGAGGTCCACCCATCTGGGCCACACGTGGTGCCGTATTGTTGTTATCAGGTCTCCCGCGTTTCACAACTGCGATCCGTTGCTTGGCAAGACAAGTGGGGTCACCAAACAACGCTGTTCGGTTGGGCCCCGAACTATTACAACAACATCAACAAGAGCACCAGCAACAATCAAAACAACAACAGCAGTAACAACAACAACAACATATACTACTACTACTACTACTACTACTACTACTACTACGACTACTACTACCACGACTACTACTACTACTACTACTACTACTACTACTATTACTACTACGACTACGACTACTACTACTACTACGACTACTAGTGCTACTACTACTACTACTACTACTACGACTACTACTACTACTACTACTACTACTACAGCTACTACTACTACTACTACTACTACTACTACTACTACTCCTGCTGCTACTACTACTACTACTACTACCACTAGTACAACCACTACTACGACGCTTACGACTACTACTACTTACTTACTACTACGACGACGACTACGACTACGACTACTACTACTATTTACTACTACTACTACTACCTACTACTACTACTACTACTACTACAATACTACCAATACTAGCATTACTACTACTACTACTACTACTACTTACTACTACTTACTACTACTACTACTACTGGGACTACTACTTAGTACTAACCACACTGCCTACTACCACTATGACACTATACTACTACGCCTACTCGGACTTGCGACGGCGACGGCCTACTACTACTACTATACTACGACTTACTACACTACATACTACTACTACGACTACAACTACCACTATGACTACTACTACTACTACGATTACTACTACTACGTGACTACTACGACTCCTAATTACGACTTCGACTATACTACTACTTACTACTACTACTACTACTACTACTCCATTACTAACTACCATATACTTATTACTACTACTAATTAACTACTACTATACTAATGTAGTAGTAGTAGTAGTAGTTAGTACTTTACTATTACACCCTCAACACTAACCTACTTACTACTACTACTACTAATATACTACTTACTAATACTACTACTACTAGTACACTAATACTCAATAATAATAATAATAATACTACGCATACCACCACCACCACCCACCACCACCACCACCACCACTACACGACTACTTACTACTGCTACGACACTATTACTATACTACTACTACTACTACTACTACCTAATACTATTACGACTACGACTACGACTACGAATACG